GCAGGTCAGTCCACTGAGGCTCAGGGAGTCTAGAACCTTCCCCAAGGCTGCGTGGCCAGCACAGGACAGACACAGCAGCCTCTGGCACCTGTACGTTTGCGCAGCCCAAATCCAGCGGGGGAGACGGATGTTCAGTAGGCAGAGCTCGGATGTTTCTGGATTGTAGTCACGGCCAATGTTGTGCAGCAAAGGGCAAGGGCTCGGAGTGCACGTAATAGGGAGAACTGACTGGTGGCTGAGCCAGAGCCAGCCTGGTGGCCTGGAGACTGGGCCAGGAGGACACACGGAGGGTTTTTCAGGCAGCAGCCTGGTCAGGGTTTGGCAAGGGTGCGTGGGGACACCTCTCCGCGTGGGCCCTCGCCTGCCACGCCGGGATTCCAACCCGAGGGCTCCCACTGGCTAGAAGGCAACGTGACGGATTGCCAAGGGACTGACCAGCGTGGCCACGGGGGCCGACGGCAGCACGCTGGCCTCAGTCGAGCCCCCCAGCCTGGCCCGAGGTGCCCTTACCGTGACCCGAACCGCTTATATGCCCCCAGAGGAGTCGGGGTAATTCGGTCTCTGTGTTTACTCCTGCCGCGAGCGCCTCTGAACGTTTCATCTTGACTGCTGACTGTATCAAAATTCCCGTGGTAATTGGATCAGGTGCAGTATTTTCCATGAGGATATTAAATCAGGCCTTCTGCCCGCGTCCAGAACGATCCGTTTCCGAATATAAAGACGCAGGAGATGGCATTACCCAAGGTATTTTTCCTCCTTTAAACTTTCTCCCCCCAACTTTATCATGGCAGTTCTTTATTTGCTGCCGAATAAATTGGGCCCTCCTCCCCTGCCCCAGTTATTAGCCAAAGGGAAGGAAAGATTCTTGCAGGCTGATGAGGGACGCCAGGGGCACGGGGGAGACAGGCAGAGCCAAAGTTTGCCCAGGGGACCTGAGGACCCAGGCAGAGCGGCCAGCAGGGGGCGGGGAGGGGGAGTCCCACCAGACGCTTCCCTCCCCGGGAAGGGTGCTGGGCACATCAGCCAACCTTCAAGGTGGGATGTTTGGACCATCCGTAAACACCGGAGAAGAGAAGTTCAAGGGCACACGAAGACCCGGGGCTGGGAGGGAGCCGGAAAGGACCTCAGAGACACATCGGTTGCTAAAGAGAGAAAGTGAGGCCACGTCACAGGCTGATGAGGCCACGTCCGAAAGGCTGTCGTTTGGAACAAGCCGGGGACGGTGGCTGCTCAGCAGCGTGGATGCTCCACACCCCGCCAGGTTGCGCACTTTCAAAATGGTTCATTTTGTGTTGTGTCAATTTCATCTCCACCTTTAAAAAGAGTCAGGTCAAAACGCCACGTTACCCGCCGCTGACTCCTTTCAGTGGTCCCACCCACGCTGGCTGAGCCTCTGTCCTATGCCAGGCACCGATCTAGGTCCCAGGATGGAGGTGAAGCTGACACAGGACCCACGAGAAAACAGACACGGGAGAACACAAGCGACGCGACTGCAGGTTGCCGAAATTCTAGAACCTGCGAGATGACCCGAGGGGACAGAAGTGCAGCTTCCGTTGCAGGGGTGCCCGCGAGGGGGACGTAGCACTAAGGAAGGCGTGCGTGGATTCATCAAGCCGCACGCTTACCGTGTGCATTTTACTGAATGGAAAGGATACTTGGGCAGAAAACCAGCATAGAGAGAGAGGAGGGAGTGACGGCTCCGACCAGGGGTTAGCGGGGCAGGTGGGCAGGGGGAGCGGGGGGAGAGGGCCTGGAGAAGCTAACTCTCCCCCTCCCACCCCCCAGGGCCTGGGCACACTGCAGAGCCAGCCTCCTCCTGCCCTTTCCTGTAGACTCTGCTCCTCGCTTGGGGCGGAGGCAGCGTCCGGGCACGCAGATGCCTGCCTCGGTGGGGGGCAGGTGGCCGGAGGAAGCCGTTATTTATTTTGGGGACCCAGCCTGTTTGTCTAGTGGGGGAGGAGCCCATGGTGAGCGTCGTGGGACCAGATTCCTGATTATAACTTCATAACGGGCACTGGCTATTCGGGAGGCGCTGATATTTATGGAATAAATACGACGCGATTTATGGCCGTATCTCCCTCTGATGTCCCATCTGATATGCAATTCAATTTCTTTTATTGTCTTTGGGCTTTTGCCACGGAGGAGAATGCATAAATAAATAAATATATGGGCAAATGGCAGCCGGCGGGCCGGGCCGGGGCTGCCAGCCCGCCGTCTCCAGTCCCATATTAGGCCCATCGATCACGCGTTATGAAGGCAGAGCCTGTCCCCCGACTGGGACAGGGAGCAGACATGCTGGTCACTCCCCGTTATTTAGGGGCCTCCGCTGGCAGGCTTCCCTGCCTGGCCTCTGTCTGTCACCAGGACACGGAGTCCCCACTCAGGACCCAAGCCCGAGCCTCTGGCCACTGGCTTGCAGGGACTCCAGAGGCCCGGTCCCCGCTAGCTCTTCTGAGTGTGGAGAACACGGCCGACTCGTGACATGTGCCCCCCGCCTGGCCCTCCCACGGGAACCCCAAGCCAGCGGCCGAGCCGTGCTTCCGCTCTGGAGTCCAACTACGTCTTCAGAACGAAGCGCTCACACCTCTGAGCCCTGGGAGCCCGGGCAGGTCCCCCGTCCCCGAGCCTGGCTGCCTCATCTGAGAGCAGGGGTGGCTTCGAACATGGAGGAGACCCTGTGCACGGCTCAGGGCACAGGGCTGGGCACGCACTCCATACGCAGCACTGACCCGGCACTTAGGGTGTGACGAGTCTCGGGAACTGGCAGACCGCGTCCCTGCCCTCAGCAAGGCCCCGTTCTGGGGGTGACAGAAGGACTCAGTGGCTGGGGCCCGGGGTCATCACTGGTCCCCGGCACTGTCCCAGGCCCCCGCCTCTTCTGAGGGACAGGACGCGGCCTGCGGGAGGACACAGCTGGACAGCCTTGGGGACCAGCCTCAAGTCTCCCCTCCCTGGCTGCTCTGGGGCCTTCGTCTCATACGGACTCCTGCACCCATGATTGGAGTGATCTGTAAAGCATCTTCCTGAGCCCCTCAGGGACTGTCCCCGAGGGGCCAGAGGCCCCGAACCTGCCAACCCCTCAACTGCCCTCACCTTCTGTGTCTCCCGGTCCCAGAGTGGGCTCTGAGGCCTGCTTGGCCCCAGCCCAGCCAGGCTGTGGGGCCTGTGACAGCCCTGCCGTGGCCCGGGGCTCCCGGGGCCTCCCTCCCCTGTCAGATCCGGGCACTGTCCCTCCTCCTCCTACACACACACACACACACACACACACAGATCCAGATGGAAGCCTGAAAGCTCCCAACACATCCCCAAGACCCCACAGTGCCCGAAAGGTGATTTGCAAAGAATTCTCTTCGCTGAAGACCCAAATTCCCCTGCCGCGGGGTGGGCACAGACAGCAATAAACCGTGGAGCAGGCTGGTCTCAGGGTGTGGTGGGGAAGGGTGTTCCAGCAGAGGGAAGAGTGTGTTTAGTGCTCCGAGGCCCATGCAGAACTCCCTACACGCGCTCGGAGGGGACTCTAATTGGGCGCTGATGGTGGGGACCGTCCTAAACGAGGTTTGTCTTGGAAACTGGGGAAGGTGGGGGAGGGCAGGGCAAGGGGGCCGCCGGCCTGACCCGCCCAGCTGAGTGACTTTGCTTCCCTGACCGTCTGTCTCTTCATCGGAAGCATGCCCCTCCCCAGCAGGGCCCCATGAGGAGGAATCAGCACGATTTGGTCGCCCGGTGGGCAGGGATAGGGCCCGGCCTGATGGAGGGAGGATGAGGGGTCACCCCTCCCAGGGTGCAGCAAACAGGGGGGTCCCCTCACCCCGCCCGGCCCCCCCGTGGCCTCCACCACCTGCGGGGGTTACTCCGCCCGCCTCCCGTCCTCCGGGCGTCCCCACGGTGGCCCCGTGTCCTCCTGGGGGACGCATAGATTTGACAGCCTTGCCGTTTTATGTGTTAGACTCTCCTGCCTTGGCCTCAGCATCGGCCCCAGCAGGCGGCATAAATTTCCCGCAGCCTATGCACGGCCCCATTAGCGCTGGCACGGGGAATGCTAATCGGCTTCTCCCGGTCCCCGGCTGAGAATCCCACCTTTCCCTGACATTTGTAAAGTTCACGTTTTCAAAATAAACCCACGTGAAGGCAGAGGCGCAGGAGTAGATCACTTCCCCGTCCTGGGCCTGCCAGCTTCTTCCCTGCCCTTGGCCTTCACCCCCTTAAAGGGCCCGCACGCTGGGAGAGGAGCCCAACCACGGCCTGGGCCTCACAGCCAGACGGATTTCTCCTTACTTCCTGCCCGCTTTCTGTCCATCCTCCCTCCTTCCTTGCACCCGATTTCCTTCCCTCGCTCGCTCGCTCGCTCGCTCACCTGCGTTTGACCACCTCGTGTGAATCCTGCCTGGGGTGTGTGTCAGGAACAGAGCAGGAAACTGCATGATTCTTGCCCTCCGGGCGTGGCAGTCTAGTGGGAACAAAGAACATGGGACTGATAATGACTATTAGAGGCGATGTGAAATCAGGAGCGGGTTACCGGGGAGGAGGGCTTCCTCAGGAAGCGACATTATCCTGAGCCTGAGGCCAAGAGGACGAACAAGAATCAGGGAGAGAGCATTTCAGATGGAGAGACTGGTAGGTGCAAGGGTCCTGGGGTAGGAGGAGACCTAGTATGTCTGAGTGTCTGGAAGAGGCTGGCCAATGAGGCAGGAGTTCTGGGATTTGAGGAGGTAAAGTCTGAGGGGCTGCCTTTACCCAAAGGCCATGGGAGCCCCTGCAGGGTGGTGCCAGGCCCTAGAGACAGACGGGGTCCAACTCAGGCCTGGGGGTCCCAACATGGTCCCAGAGGTGTTCACAGCACCGATTCAGAATCCCGAGGGCAGCCGGAGGGCAGTATTGCTTTCCTGTGCCCTCCCCTTCCTTGCTGGGTTCTGCTGCTGACTTATAATTGCTGTTTCCTTGTCCTCAGCACAAAAAGCTCTGAAATGAAATTATGTCTGACGGCCGGGTTTTCCCTGCAGGGGGAACCCCTGGTGAGGACCAGCGTCTGCAAGGAGCCGGTCACTCTGCACCCCTGCTTCTGCTGCTTTGCGCCGGATGGATACTACGTCTCCATTGATTCATCCCACACGGGCACCTGCTGGGCCCTGAGCAGGGGTGGGGAGGGCAGCACAGCCCACCCCCTCAGGGAGCTCACAGTCTGATGGAGGAGACAGACCAGAGGAAAACTAGCGAGTGCAGATTTGGCGCCCCCGGCGTGGCGAAGGTTAGGGAGCAAAACAACGCAGCGTGCCTCGGTAGGACGCACAGGGGACGGTCAGGAGCTCTGGGACGACGGCCTCTTCATACAGGGACCTTGGGGCAGGGAGGGCTGCCGAGATCTCCGGGAACAGGGCTCCAGGCGTAAGCACAGCATGTGCAAAAGCCCCGTGGTAGGAATGCGCTCTGTTTGGGGGAGGAGGCCGGCGTGGCCGGGAAGCGTGGCCAGCGGGAGAGGACGGCGGGCGTGTGGGCCCTTTCTTCACGTACTATTTATGTATTCACCATTCATTCCTCATCCGTTCATTCACACCGCATGAGCACCCAGTCTGCCACCTGCCCAGGGGGTGAGTCAGGGATACCCTCAAGGGATCCCTAGTCCGGGGTGGGATTAGACACTGGGGGCAGCTTGGATGTTTACCCACGGGGTGGGTTCCACGGCCCCGGGAGCCCTGGCTGGGCCCATCCATGAACAGCAACTCACACACTTCAGCTGTGTGTGGGCAAGGTCTGGGCGTGGCGGGGCCAGCCTGCGTGGACCTGGCCACGGGCATTTCCTCAAGGAGTCCCAGGCCCACGAGTTGCTGTCCTAGACCCTGTGTGCCCAGAGGAAGTAGGAGCCAGACTAGCAGGGGCCAGAGGCTGGGTCTAGCGGGGGAGGCTCTCGCCGGCGAGGGGGCAGCCTGGACCCCCGGGAGAGGTTTAGGGAGGGGAAGCCACTCCAGACAGGCCTCAGTGGCCATTCTGTGCCACCTTCTGGTGTACAGGTGGGAATCCTGAGGCCCAGAGAGGGGAAGGGACTTGCCCAAGGACACACAGCAAGGGAGGGGCCGAGCAGGGAGAAGAGTCTGGCCTCTTGGAGACCTCTCTTGGATGATCTCCAGGACAGATGCTGTCAGTACTTAAAAGTGACCTCCCCATCTCCCCGGACCTGCTTCTCAGCCCGTGCCCCAGTTCAGGACAGCACCCCTCCCCAGGTGGCCCAGACAGAGACCACCTTCCGGTCCAACTGGTGGTTTTCCTCTCCGGGACCTCCAGAGCTTGCCCAGCCCCTGCTCCTATCCGGGCCACCACCCTCTCTCCCTGGCTCCTACAGAAGCTTCCAGACAGCTGGCGCCCACCCTTGCAGCCCACTCTCTTCTCCCTGCAGCCGCCAGGGAGGGCTTTCCAGGACAAAACCTGCTCCGTCTCCTCTCTGTTGAAACCTTCCCACAGTCGCCGGCTGCCCCCAGGTGAAGTGTGGGCTCTTCAGCACGACGTGTCGTGCTGCGCCCCCCACCCCCGTCCCCCGGCTCCCACCTCTGTCACGCCACCTTGCCTCTTCTCAAACTCACACCTCCGGCCACACAGCTTCCCTAAGTCCTGCACAGTTCTGCCTCTGAGCCTTTCACCTTCTGTTCCCTCTCCCAGAATGCCCATCCCTGTCGCTTTTTTCTGACCATCTCCCCTCCGGCTCTCCATTGACCCCACCTCCTCCAGAAAGACTTCCCTGGCCTTTCTAGACTGGGTGCTCACCGCCCCAGGGCTCACCTGACTGCTCTGGGCTATAATCACCGGTTTATCGTCTGGGTCCCCCAAGTGCAAGGACAGTTTTGCCATCATTCCGTCCCCAGGGCTTGGCACATGGACACAGTAAATGTCTGTCCAGGGAGCCTCCTCTGTAGCCCAGACCCTGGTCCCCAAACCACCCAGAAGAGGGGCATTCTTTGTCCCTCTGGGCCCCCTCCCTTTGAAGGGCTTCCCAGGGCTGACTCATTCTGGGCCCAGGCCTGCTCCGGCTGGGCACAGCAGCAGTGGGGGGACTCAGCGGTGCCATACCCGAGGCCAGCCATGTCCCTCGGCCTGTCGGAACTTGTCAACTCCAGGGAAAGGATGCTCCATGAGGTTGACAGCTGAGGGGCCCCCTGTCAGCTCCCATCAGTGGGAGCCCTCCCTTCCCACCCTGCCCGCATCCCATCTTGCAGGTCTCTGCCGATCTGTCGCCTCCTTCGAGAAGCCTCCCCTGATTGCCCAAACTAAAACTCATCCCCTTTTGGAGTCCATCCCATCTCCTCTTCTATTTCCTCTGTGGCTCCTACCGTGACCTGTCACCACCTGATTCATCAGTTTGTTTCCTGGGTCACCGTCTCCCTCCCTAATCCCGCAGGAAGCCCCCTGAGTTCACGGACCACCCACTGCCTGCGCCGTGGCAACCCCAGCGCCCAGCACAGCTGCTCCCTGAAGGAATGAATTAATGAATGAGACAAGAGTCAAGGAGAAAAGAGCATAGGTTCTGGAACCAGGGACATCGGGGTTTGAATCCCGGCTCCGTCACTGACTTGGGCAAGGGACTGCCTCTGGCTGAGCCTCAGTTTCCCTGTTTACGCTTACCTGGGCATGTGATGCACTCAGCCCAGGCCCGACCCCCAGGAAGCCTCTGTGGTGGCCACCTTGTCCTTGCTGAGAGATCCGGGATGGTGCCCCAGGAGGGTGGTCGCGGTGCGGACAGACGGGCTTGGGCCTGGCAGCACGGGCCCGGGGGCCAGCTGTAGCCAGTCACTAAATTCCCCGGGGCAGATCCCCAAGCCTGATGTCACGCCTTGTCTGCCTATCCGCTGAGCAGGTAGAGTCTCCCTACTTAACAGAAGGGAAGACTGAGGCCCAGACACGCAGACAAAGAGCACAGACTTACGGAGCCCTGGAGCCAGACGGGGTGTCATGGGAAACCACCTCGGCCAATGCTCTCGCTGTCCAGATAGGGAAAACGAGGCACCCCAGAGGGGCAGGACCCACCCGAGTGACCATCAGGGCAGGGCCTCAAGGCCGGGGAAGGGGGCTATTTTTCCCTTTGTGCTAGCACCCCAATCCCGGGCTCCAAGGAGGAGCTGTCAGGTGGGATCAGCGGGGTCCTGGCCCCATCTCCCCAGATTTAATTAACAGGCCTTTCATCTCTGTCCTGAAGGAGTCTGGTATCTTCTGTCCTTTTAATTAACGTTCATTAAGCAAATCAGGACAGCGGTTTTCTCCTTCCGTTCTTTGCCTGGAAGGTGTTAACCCTTGGTAGGTGGGCTGCAGGGAGGGAAGTCTGCCCCGGTTCCTCACTGCCCCAAGCGGGACGCGGGGCCTCTGCAGAGATTCCCTAGGTCCCCAGCATAGGCCCAGCCCCCGTCAGCCACACACAGGTTCCGGCCCCTCCTCCCACCTCCATGCTGGCCCCCGGGATTCCACCCTATCCATCTTCCTAAAGGAAATGTTCTCCGGCTCCACTGCTGAAGAGCCTTCCTGGGCTCGCTGCCACCACTCAGAAATGGGTTAGGACCATGGGCAGGTTATGGGGTTGGGTCTGAAAGCTCTAGCGGTGGGGAAACTGAGGCCACGTGGCCCCTAGGTTCCATGGCCTGCAAAGACCAGGTTTCCAGCCAGTCACAAGTGTGCAGAGGGGCCCCTGGTGGCAGGGCCTTTACCGGGCCATGATGAGTGAGTCTGCTGGGAGGTGACACCCCGAGCCTTCTCTTGACGGACAGTTGGCAGTGCGCCTCGTGTTGTCCAGTGTCCGAAATGGTGATGTCCACAGTTCTGCTCATTCAGGGTCCCTTTCCTGATGTCACAGAGGTGTTCACTGTCCCTTTGCCATGCAGATTTGGGGAGTTATCCTGAGACTTTGTGGGTGCACAGACACCCCCACGCTTCGGGGACCACACTTTGCTTCCAGGCATCTGTGGCTCTGAGCCCCTCCCTGACTCCCATCCTGGGATGGGAGAGACTGGTTATGTCCTTCTGTGCATGGGGCTCATGCATGCAAACCACTTCCCCTCTCTGGGCGTCAGTTTCCCCATTCGCACAGCCAGCACCCTGGACCCAGTGACTTTATCCTTCCGCACCCCAACCCCCCAACCCCCCCTCACCACACAGGGACCTACGCCCGACCTGTTCTTGGCCGCCAGGGGGCGAGAGGGGCCAGTCCGGTAGTGTGGCCAATGTCGCCACCTGGTGGTGGTTCCTGGGAGAACGTGAGCAGCTGTGTGTGACGCTCAGGCAGGAGACACTGGAAAAGCAGGAGGCAAGTGGGAGCCCGGGACCTCCTGGGAGCTGAGTCCGACTGAGGCAGGATGGTCCTGCTGCCAGGAACTGGGCAAGGTCGGTGAACACCCAGCTGGCACCACCTGAAGGAACCATCATCTCCTGCCCAGTCCCTGTAGGTTCAGCCTTTGCCAGTTGTGTGGCTCCTGCTCTTCCCCAAACAGTCCCTGAACTACACTCGGTGCAGACCCTGGGGACACCAGGGGGAGGCACACGAAGTCCCTGCCCCCATGAACCCTCAGCTCCCGCAGACCCTCTGCAAGACGAAGCCCCAGCTCATCACCCCGGAGCCCCACACTCCACATCACCTGGCCTCAGCCCCCAGGACCAATGCCCCAACCCAGAGCTGCAAATACACAACAGACTGGCCCCACGCAGTGACCTCTGAGACTTTGCACATGCTGTGCCTCCTACCCTTCCTCCTACTCCTCCTTTATGACTCAGTTTATTTATCACCTCTTCTGGAAAGCATGCTCCAACTCCAGGCAGAAGTAGCCACCCCTACCCACGCCCACACCCCAAGCCCCAAGATGTTCACGGACATCTATCCATAGAGATGCTGTGAGAGAGGTGTCTAACTCTCCCCTGTGCCCTTGCCCCAGCACAGTGCAGGGTACACAGTGGGCAACGACACATGTTTGCTGAGGAACAAAGGACTGTAAACACACGGCCACCACCTGTCTTAGAAAACAGCAAGAACATGTCTTCGAAGACCATCATCAGGCTGTTTCTCAGTGCCTGCACGACCTTGTCTTCATTATAGTGATGGCAGTTTACCATCCCCGCCCCTTACTCCAGGCTGGCTGGGCTCTGGGCCAAGCACTTGGCAGGTGCTTAGGTATTTCCAACAGGAAGGATTGAATGCAGGGAATGAAGTGCTCAGGGGATGGCTGGAAGGCCTGGAAGGGCTGACAGCCGGGACACTGCAGAACTGACCCACCTGGGAAGCTGCCACCACCCGAGGCTCTGGGAGCTCACCCTTTAAGTGCAATCTAGGGGCCAGAAAACAGGAGCCAAGACGCCCCTACTGCTGCCACCCCAGGGAGCTAGATACAGGAAGCATGCTGCTGCAGGAAAGCTCCTCCTCTGTGACCCCTCTTGCCACCAGAGAAATCCACCTCTGCCCACTTCTACCTTCCAAATCGCAAGCAAGGACCTCTGGCTGGCAGGACCTAGTTTGCATCAGGCACCCTAGCTGCAGAGGCTGCAGCTGAAATATAGTCCTTAGCATGTTAGGGCATTTATTTCTATTTTCCTTAGAGGTTTATTGGGGGTGGGGGGCAGGGGAAGGGCTGCTCAATTTTATCGATCCATTGATATAAATATGTGGCTTTTCTTCTGTGAGTTGCCAATTTTTAAAAATTTTTAACGTTTATTTATTATTAAGAGAGAGAGAGACACAGAGCGTGAGCAGGGCAGGGGTAGAGAGAGGGGGAGACACAGAATCTGAAGCAGGCTCCAGGCTCTGAGCTGTCAGCACAGAGCCCAAGGCAGGGCTGGAACTCACAAACTGCGAGATCCTGACCCGAGCGGAAGTCAGTGGCCCAACCAGCTGAGCCACCCAGGCGCCCCTCGTGATTTACTGATTTTAATGAACGCAGAGCAAATGGGGAGAGTGGGGGGAGGGGCACAGGGAAGGTCCCTCGGAGGTGATACTTGTGATGACACCAAGTACCCTTGGTCACAAACATCAGGTTAGAATCTCTGCTTTGAGAGCAAACAGAAGTCAGCAGCTGAAGCACTTTGCAGAGTTAATGGGGAGGCGGAACCGTGGGGAACCATCCCACGAATCCGCCTTG